GCATCTTCAGAGTGCAGGAGCACAGACAGGAGCAGTTCTCTCTGTGCCCAGGATGATGTGACCCTTTTTGTGGGTATTGAAGCATCTCCTTATGAAAGTGGCCCATAGCTTTCAGAAATTTCCAGTAACAAAATTTACTGCATATTCCAGTGTTTTGCATGTAGCTCTGATTTTCAAAAGCCAGATTGTATTTACCCTGTCCACAAGTGATATAATAGGATATTTGCCCTATTTTTAACTTAACAGCCCATATGTCCATTCAAGAGGCAGGTTGACAGAAATGATCCTGTTTTAAATAATCCTTCAGATTGCTTATAATTCAGTGAAACTGACCGAAACCCCAAGAGTATACTTCTGCTGATGGAGAACTTCATGGAAGGACCATTTCTGATCTAACAGCATATTTGAAAAATGACCCTTAATTTGGGTTCTTTGTGCTCAAGCTTTTAGTGTTTTTTTTTCAATAGCCCGCCTATTAAATTAGATTATAGCATTGTATAACTTTTTCTCATTAGAGATAATAACATTCCAAAATTCAGATTTCTCCTTTGAATAAAATTTATTCAATTTTTCAAAAGTGTCATTCTAAGATAGTGTATTCTTCTACAAAAGATTGTGCTGCTGCTCAATGGCAGGTTCCAATTGTGATTTACGCCATTCTGGAGAACAAATATTACTCATGAAAAGGAAGATATGTTTAAGTCTACAGTGTAATTATATACAATGCAGAAACCTCATGTTTAATTTAAATGGGGAGAGGGAGTATTTCCATCTGGCAATCTTAAATCTGGAAGACCAACAGCATGTAAATATTATCAAAAATATAATTTGGTCCTCAAACATTTTAAGTAGGAAAGCGTTATGCATTCTGATCTTATTTATCACATTAATTATAAAAACCATTGTATACAAAAGTATAGAAAAGGTAACTTTTGAAGTCATGCTTAACATACCCAAAACTTTAGAAAAACTTATTTTAGAAAATATTAATGAATTATATTATTACAATGCTTTGAAATTAAAATGAACTCTGAAAAATACAGAATTGTAAACACTTCATTACATTTGATTAAATTAATTTTCTATTACTTTTAAAAACTTAATTTCTCTCTATACAATACTATTGGCAACAAACTATCTCCAACAGAACATAATGACCTGATAGCGTCTGTTCACCAGATACCACTTTCATAATGTTATCTGTATCACATCTTGTTTTTAATAAATTGTATACGCCATTTCCAATGACACTTCAGGGAATTAGCCAGACACATATATACATATTTCTTGTGAAATAGTTAATTTACTGTCCATTAGTACAAGTTAATAATCTAAATATAAAAATTGAAAATATTTTAATGCAACTGTATAAATGGGAAAGGACTATAGAAATCAGAGGTAAAACAAGTCTATTACTGTAAAACTATTGTTTTCTTCCCTCCATTCATAATTATACAGAAATATACAGTTGTTACACTTTTTCAAGCTGAATTCTTATCAAATAAAGACAGTGAAGCATTACGTTGGTATAGCTCTGCTTCAGCTCTGGCTATACCACAAGAAAGTAGCATGGCATCAAATCATGTTAGCAGCTTGATTCAACAGTAGCCACCAATTTGCCAGTTCTCCGCACTTCCTTCTCTTTCTTCTGAAACTTTTCTTTCTGTTTCTCCAATTTTTCTTGTGTTTTTTTAATATCTTTAATTTTTTTCTTTATTGTTGATCGGTCATTTTGACTGGAGACTCCCAAGGCCTTTCAAAGAAAAGGTATATTGAGACAGAGCAGAATACACCAAAAAGCGAGTGCTTTATTATGGCACTAACTCATAAACAAGAGTTTAGTATTTCAATTTTTAAAATATTTTTTCTGTATCAGCTATAGCAGAAATAAAAGAAGCTCAACTTCTATGAATTCCTCTACAGAAGCAATAAGCAACATAACTGAAAACCCTAGAAGAGAGATCATCAAGATGTGGGTGATATCCAGTCCTTTATCACCACTCTGGGCTAAATGGCAGATGTGTTAAACTTCTAACAAGCGCCTGGAGGCTGTTCAGGGCTGGGGTGGAGAGAAACAGGCTCAGACTTAACCCAAGCAAGATGGAGCAGCTATGGATTCAGAAGCCCATGACTTGATGGGACTGGGCTCACTTGGGGAGAGGAGCCTCACCATCTAGGAGGACTTCTTGATTCATGGCTCTTGCTAGAAGATGGAGGTCATGACCCAGAGGGCTTTTACCCAGCATTGGCTTTGGGAATGGTTTTATATGGAGTTACTGGTGCCAGAAATGGTTGTTGCAGTTATTATTTTACAGTATTATTTTTATTATGGTTTCTTATTGTGTACATCACCAACAGTCCAAGTCCATTTCAGATTGAGGTGGTAAGCAATCCCATAATCAAACAAACCAATGTAGCAAACTGCTTGCATAGTTTGTCATGACCATCTTTATATCTATTGATTTCAAAGGGACTATTCCAAGTCTAACTAAGTCTGGATTCAACCCAGTGTAACTAAAATGCACTGGACTAAGGCAATCTTTTCAGAATATTTCTCTTAAAACAATCCTGTTAGTCCTATAGGGTCTAAAAACCAAATGACCAGTTCTAAAAGTGTCTTCCAACATTTGTAAATTAGCAGCAGCTTTTTATTACCATGTACAGACTGCCGCAAACTCTGAGGGAGCTTTCAAAAATCTTATTGTGGCACACAGCATGGCTTTTTAAAAGGAAAAAAATGAGGTGTCATTCAGAGAACATGTAAGCAAACAGATGCACCAAATGAGGTGTAGCAAATAGAAAAAAGTTAGGATTCTAATACCTCTTCCGTCATCAAGATCACTGGCTACTCTAACAGTAATTTCTGTAATAACTTCACAGGACAGTTGCCAGAATTAAAAGAAAACACCCCACCCATATATACCACTCTGTATTTCTTAAAAAGGAGAGATGAAATAATAGGATTGTTATAAATAGATGTAGTAAAAATTTTAATCAGCAGATGGCAACCTCTGATAAGACTATAACAGCATTCTGGCTTTTTTAACAGATTACATCATGCACTTACAATCTCTCTCTTTCAACCCAAATAAAAACTTAAAATGAATTTGTGTAGAGTATAATCCTATACGATTTAACAGTGAATAATCCTCACTTAATTCAGTGTGATCTGCTTCTGAGTAGACTTGCCTTGGACTGTTTCCTATAGTTTAGATCAGTGTTTCTCAACCTTGGCAACTTGAAGATGTTTGGACTTCAACTCCCAGAATTCCCCACCCAGCACTGGCTGGGGAATTCTGGGAGTTGAAGTCCAGATATCTTCAAGTTGCCAAGGTTGAGAAACACTGGTTTAGGAGGGTAAATCCTAAAAACTGTGTCACAACATAATCCTGAACAAGCTGTTTCCTGAGAAGACCAACTCAGTTAAATGGGATGCATTCATTGTCTAGTAAGCATACGGGTTTGTACAATGTTATTTTTAATCATTTGGAGGAATACAATATTCAATACATTCTCTTCTTCTGACATAGATAGAGTATGTAGAATCCAAAACAAACCACAAATTAATAGTACAAACCCTAGAGAGGGAGG